TATATTGACCTTCAAATGAAAAAATTTACTCATTTTAATAAAAAAATCTTCAATAATTAGTTATCATCTGTAATTGAAAATAAAAATGTGTATTTTAAGCGAATATCTTTAAAAAATAAATAATATCACTTCATAACATATAGGCAGAAAGCAGTCATTTCTTCATTTACTTTTTTATGTAGAAGTTTGTAGCAAGACAAACATGGTGTTCAAATGCTTCAAGGTTTTATCAGGAAAAGATTAAGGATATCACTGAGAACTAATTTAAAAAGAAATTGAGGACATGTTTGGGGACAAGTTATCATATGAGATTAAACACTTGTTTGAGTATTAGATTTACGATCAGATTAAAAAATTTTTTGATGATAAGTTTTAGAATAAGATTTGAGGACCAGTTTTAGTATCAGATTGAGGACCAGTCAAAGGATCACATTGAGGACTTATTTCAGTATAACAATCGAAAACTATGGTAAAAAGATAAGCATTTTTAATATCAGATTGAGGACCAGTTTTATGATCAATTTAAGGACTTTTTTTAGTATAAGAATTGAGGACTGGTTTAAGGACACGTATAAGTATCAGATTGAGGACTTATTTTCGGATAAGAATAAAGGCCTGATATAAGAAACAGATTTAGGATCAGTTTAAGGACTTATTTTTAGATAAGAATTTAGGACTAGTTTGGGGACCTGTTTCAGTATCAGATTGAGGACTTGTTTTAGGATAAGAATTAAATACTAGTTTAAGGACCAGTTTTAGGATCAGTTTGAGGACTTCTTTTAGGAAAAGTATTAAAGACTGTTTTAAGGATTAGTTTCAGTATCAGATTGAGGACTTGATTTAGGATAAGAATTGATGACTAGTTTGAGGACTTATTTTAGGAAAGGAATTGAGGACTAGATTGAGGACCAGTTTTAGGAACAGTTTAAGGACTTTTGTTAGGAAAAGAATTAAGCACTAATTTGACGACCAGTTTCAGTATCAGATTGAGGACTAGTTTGAGAACCTGTTTCAATATCAGATTGAGGATTTGTGTTACGATAAAAATTGGACCTATTTTGAGGACTTATTTCAGGATAATAATTGAGGTTTAGTTTGAGGACCAGTTTTAGGATAAGTTTGAGGACTTCTTTTAGGAATAGAATTAAATACTGGTTTGAGGACTAGTTTCAGTATCAGATTGAAGATTTGTTTTTGGATAAGAATTGATGACTACTTTAAGGACTTATTTTAGGATAAAAATTGAGGATTGGTTTGAAGACCAGTTTTAAGACGTTTGTATACCTCCCCGTTTCTGAGTATATTCAGAAACGTGTGAAGCAGTTTGCTAAGTTGAAAACGAGTTTTCTATCTTGGAAGCCATTGAAAGCCGCAATAGACAATTGTTATTATGGCGGGATTATTTGAATGTCATATTTTCCACCAATCACAATATATTACGAACTGACATTCAAATCATCACGCCATAATAATAATTTTTTAGCACGGATTCCAAGATAGAAAACTCGTTTTCAACATAGAAAACTGCTTCACGTTTCTTAAAAAAATACTCAGAAACGGGGAGGTAAACAAGCGCCTTTAGTATCAGATTGAATAAAAATTTACTATTTTTTTTATTTTATTTACTATTTTTTTTATTTTACTTTAGAATAAAAATTGGGGACAGTTTAAGGACCAGTTTCAGGATCAGTTTCAGAACTTATTTTAGGATAAGAATTAAGGACTAGTTTAAGGACCAGTTTTAGGATCATTTTGAGGACTTCTGTTAGGAAAAATATTAAAGACTATTTTGAGGACCAGTTTTAGTATCAGATTGAGGACTTGTTTTATAGGATAAGAATTGAGGTTTAGTTTGAGGACCAGTTTTAGGATCAGTTTGAGGATTTCTTTTAGGAAAAGAATTAAAGACCGGTTTTAGGACCAGTTTCAGTATCAGATTGAGGACTTGTTTTAGGATAAGAATTGATGAATAGTTTAAGGACCAGTTTCAGTATCAGATTGAGGACTTGTTTTAGGATAAGAATTGATGAATAGTTTAAGGACCAGTTTTAGGATCAGTTTGAGGACTTCTTTTAGGATAAGAATTGAAGACTAGTTTGAGGACCAGTTTTAGGATCAGTTTCATCATCAGATTGAGGACTTGTTTTAGGATAAGAATTGATGAATATTTTAAAGGCAATATTTTAGGATAAGAATTGATAAGAATTGACTAGTTTTAGTATCAGATTGAGCTGTTACTTAAGAATAAGAATTGGGGACTAGCTTGAGGACCATTTTTAGGATCCGTTTAAGGACTTATTTTAGGATAAGAATTGAGGAATGGTTTTAGGACAAGTTTTTGTATCAGATTGAGGAGTTACTTTAGAATAAGAATAAGGGACTAGTTTGATGACCAGTTTTAGGATCAGTTTGAGGACTTCTTTTAGGAAAAGAATTTAAGACTGTTTTAAGGACCAGTTTCAGTATCAGATTGAGGACTTGATTTAGGATAAGAATTGATGAATAGTTCAAGGACCAGTTTTAGGATAAAAATTAAGGACTGGTTTGAGGACAAGTTTTAGTATCTGATTGAGGAGTTACTTTAGGATAAGAATTGGGGACTAGTTTGAGGACCAGTTTTAGAAACAGTTTAAGAACTTTTGTTAGGAAAAGAATTAAGGACTTTTTTGAGGACCAGTTTCAGCATCAGATTGAGGACTTGTTTTAGGATAAGAATTGAGGACTAGTTTGAGGACTTATTTCAGGATAAGAATTGGGGACTGGTTTGAGGACCAGTTTTAGTATCAGATGGAGGACTTCTGTTAGGAAAAAAATGAAGGACTAATTTGAGGACTAGTTTCAGTATCAGATTGAGGACTTGTTTTAGGATAATAATTAAGGTTTAGTTTGAGGACTTATTTCAGGATAAGAATTGGGGACTGGTTTGAGGACCAGTTTTAGTATCAGATGGAGGACTTCTGTTAGGAAAAAAATTAAGGACTAATTTGAGGACTAGTTTCAGTATCAGATTGAGGACTTGTTTTAGGATAATAATTAAGGTTTAGTTTGAGGACTTCTTTTAGGAATAGAATTGAAGTTTGGTTTGAAGACTAGTTTCAGTATCAGATTGAGGACTGGTGTTAGGATAAGAATTGATGACTAGTTTGAGGACTTATTTTAGAATAAGAATTAAGGACTGGTTTAAGGAGTAACATTTTTAGTATCAGATTAAACGTCTTTTTTAGGATAAGTTTGAGAACTTTTTTTAGGAAAAGAATTAAGAACTGGATTGAGAACCACTTTTGGAACCCGCCATTTCAGTGCACATGCAACTCGCACTTGCCTTTTTACAATCACATTTCAATTTAAATAGGTTAGTTTGTAAATTTACTTCTGAATTTACGTGATTGATTTATCATCTTTACGTAAGATAAATTCTAACATTCAAAAATATGAATAATTAAAAAATTGTTAAAATGAATTATAACATTTTAAAGTTAATAATAATGTTTAATATTTTATAGGGGAGAATGGGGAGTTGTGAAGCACGGACATAGATCTTGCATAGTAATTGTTTTGATAGATGTCACTTACTCTCAATATTCTTTCACCTAATATCTTCGTTTTGTAATTGGATTCTTTCTGATAGCAGATATTTTGCATATCTTTCAAGAAAATTTGTTTAACCTTTCGTTTATAAAGTTTTTTTGAGTGTTCCTTTTTGTAGAATTCTTACAAAATTCTCGAACAAATCAAAAAGATAAGTTCACCCATATAATAACCAGCAATGATTAGGTTTTCGATATTGAAAAGGATTTATGCAAAATCTCAGTAAAGAATATTTACCAAAAAATATAATTTTCAGTGATTTTTAGTAGTGCTTCACAACTCCCAATGATTTTTAAAAACTTGAGAAAGCAGCTTTTTGGCTTAACTGAAAAAAATTGTCGATTTTATTTTATTTCATACAAATTCTTCAACCAGTAAGCATATTTGAAGACACTCTAGAGATTCAAGTGGAGAAAATTTGAAATTTTTTTTTTAAGTTACAACTCATAAACAAAGCGTGCTTCATAACTCCCCATTCTCCCCTAGCATACGTGGAAAAAAATAGACCAAAATCCGTAAAATTTGATCTCACTGACCTGGTAAGATTAATAAATAATACGTGTTGTACTATAAGGAACCCAAAAGAGCAATCAACAAAGATAAATTCTAAAACATTAAAAATTCTTCTGTTAAAAGAAAAACGTTTAGAGAAAGTTAAAAATAAAATGAACCATGTTAAAAAAATTTATGTAGAGGAGAATAGTGTCTTAGAAATGTAAAATGATTTTCCAAATAATGAGAATAATAAAAGGACAAGTTGAGACTGAAGAAATTAATGATAATAAAGAAAATGATAATTGCACACGTGAAACAAAGAGTAATAAAGAAGAAAATAATGATATACAAGAATAAACAACAGATATTACAATTCATTATTATTTGTATAGTATATTGTTATTAAAAGTTACAATTAATTGAAAATTTAAAATACTTAATAATATGTATTATATTATATTTATAAAATATTCAAATTATATCTATTAAAAAGAAAAAAACTTAAAAATTTCATTCTTAATTTTATTTAAAAGTTCAAACTAAAGTTCACTTTGTTATACTTGTCAAATAGAAAAAATTGTTGAAGTACGTTTTAAGGACTTCGTGGCCTATAGCTAAAACCATTATGCGTTTGCTTTGGCGTTTTTCTGTCTGTCTATCAATGCTTAATAAAAAAATAATGTTTATTTCATTTATAATTTATTTTTTTAACAAAAAAGAATTTTTTTTAATTTTTCGGACAATTTAACACAAAAATGAGTATTAACTAATATTTATAATAAATTTAATGGTGATAACAATTTCTTGACATTTTACTGCGACAAGCACAACGATTCATTAATGGTCCATGAAAACAGCGATTGTTGATAAAAAAAGTTCTGCTTGCTGTTGGACATTATTTAAAGAACACCTTTTTCTCTTCTCTACATTGAATTTCTGCATATCTTTATTTTACAGTTCTTACGATCCATTTTTTCTCTCAATTCTTTAATTTCAGTTTCATATTTATGTTTTATCTTTCAATCATGTAATGGTAAATTCCTTCCCTAAAATACAAATAACAATAATAATGTGAAATAAAAGTAAAACAAAGCATCTGCAAAAATGAATTTACAATTTTTGTATTATTTTGTAAATTTTATAAATTGCATTATTGTCATACATTATTGCAAATTGAATACCAAAAAAACACAAAAAGTTATTTTTTCAAAATTTCTATTTTTTAAAATGTCAGTATCTTAAATAATATAAATGTACTACAAAACTAAAAAAAACATTTAAAGGTCTCGGAATATTTTTTTCAAAATATTTGCAAAAATTGGTTTTATTTTTTATCATATATTGTTTATTGACTTTTTTATTTTTTGCCCATATTAAAAATCAATTGATTTAAACGTCAATTATAACACTGTGCAACAATTTTCGGTTTATTTTTTCTTTCCCAAATAAGTTTAGGCTTAAATTAAAGTAGATGTATGCAATAATAAAACCCCAAAAGGATTTTGCAAACTTAGTTCATTTCATATTTTTATGAAATTTTAAAGTTCATGATACAATTTATAATATTTTTAAAAAATCTTGCACCTTTTGTGATATATAATTTTAAAAATAGATTGTTTAAAAAAATTGTTTTGAATATTTTTTCCTAAGAAAAATTATTAAACAATTTAAATATGATTATTTATTTACATTATGGTTATAAAAAAATACAGAAAAATTCGATAAATTAGCTTTTATAATCACTTTTCCAATTAAGTACTATAATATAATTACACCTTTTTAATTAGAATTTATTTAATACTTATATTTTACTCATTACTTAATTCATATTTCTACTTAAATATAGCAAAAGATTTAAAATTTTTGAAAATTTCACAAAAATGAGCATAAGTTCAAAGGTTTATAAAAAATAAATTTAAGCTTTATTTCAAAAACCCTTGGAGGGTTAAATTACTGTTTATTTGTACTATCATTTAGCACTAGAGACAACCGGGAGAGAAAAATGTGTCGCACAGTGTAATTTAAAAAAAAAACTTTTTAAATTATAACGAGTTAACCATACTTTCAACCAGCATGATATTTTAATATTGTTTTACTAATTTATACTAACCTTACAAAGTCCAATATTTTATTTATATATTTATTTCATGTGCACATCTTTTTGCAATTTAAATTCTTTCCTGTAATTGAAAATAAAAATAGCTTTTGCCCTTCAAGTGATTTTCTCTAATAATTGATAAATGTTTCTTCATAACATTTAGGCAGAAGTCAGTCATTCCTTCTGTTTACTTTTTTTATAGAGAAGTTTGCCGCATGACAAAAATGGTGTTCAAATGCTTTACATTTATCGTGACTTTTCAATTCATTTAATTTGAATTTATTTTAAAACTATTTAGAATTTCATAAAAAAAAGAAAAAGTGCTGTCTTAGAATTTTTTTCTGAATCTAATTCTACAATTTTGAATACGATTTTCAGATCACCTTGTATTGTCCTAATATTGCCATTATATTGTCCTAATATTGCCCTACTATTGTCTTTATATTGTTATTATATTGTCCTAATAGTGCCATAATATTGTCCTAATATTGTCTTTATATTGCCATTATATTGTCCTAATATTGTCCTAATAGTGCTATTATATTGTCCTGATATTGACATTATATTGTCATTATATTGCCATTATATTGTCAAAATATTGCCATTATATTGTTCTAATGTTGCTTTTATATTGCCATTATATTGACATAATATTGCCCTAACATTGTCTTTATATTGCCATTATATTGTCCTAATAGTGCCATAATATTGTCCTAATATTGTCTTTATATTGCAATTATATTGTCCTAAAAGTGCTATTATATTGTTCTAATAATGACATTATATTAACTTAATATTGTCCTAATATTGACATTACTTTGCCCTAATATTGTAGTAAGATTGCCATTACATATACATAATAATGTCCTAATATTGACATTATATTGACATAATATTGTTATTATATTGTTCTAATGTAGCCTTTATATTGCTATTACATTGCCATAATATTGTCCTAATATTGTTTTATATTGCTATTATTTTGTTCTAATATTGACATAATATTGTCTTTATATTGCCATTATATTGTCTTAATAGTGCTATAATATTGTCCTAAAATTGTCTTTATATTGTCCTAATATTGTCCTAATAGTGCCATTATATTGTCCTAATATTGCCATTATATTGTCCTAATATTGCCCTACTATTGTCTTTATATTGTTATTATATTGCCCTAATAGTGCCATAATATTGTCCTAATATTGTCTTTATATTGCTATTATATTGTCCTAATATTGTCCTAATAGTGCTATTATATTGTCCTGATATTGACATTATATTGCCATTATATTGTCAAAATATTGCCCTAATATTGTCTTTATATTGCCATTATATTGTCCTAAAATTGTCCTTGTAGTGCCATTATATTGTCCTAATAATGACTTTATAATAACATAATATTGCCATAATATTAACTTTATATTGCTCTAATATTGTCCTAATATTGCCATTACTTTGCCCTAATATTGTAGTAATATTGTCATTACATATACATAATAATGTCCTAATATTGACATTATATTGCTATAATATTGCCATTATATTGTTCTAATGTGGCCTTTATTTTGCCATTGCATTGCCATAATATTGTCCTAATATTGTCTTTATATTGCTATTATTTTGTTCTAATATTGTCCTAATATTGTCTTTATATTGCCATTATATTGTCCTAATATTGTCCTAATAGTGCCATAATATTGCCCTAATATTGTCTTTATATTGACATTATGTTGTCCTAATATTGTCCTAATAGTGCCATAATATTGTCCTAATATTGTTTTTATATTGCCATTATATTGTCCTTATATTGTCCTAATAGTGCCATAATATTGTCCTAATATTGCCATTATGTTGCCACAGTATTGTCCTAATATTGCCATCGTAATGCCCAAAATTTTCTAGAAATATTAACACACAATATTAAAGAGAGTATTTTTTCGAAAATTATTTAAAATTTAGGGAAGAAATTTTGTCAGAAGAAACCTCTAATGCTCTCATGGCTCCTCCCACATTCTGTCGCTTTTAACTCAAAGTGAATATAGGATCTGAACTATTCGCTGCAGGGGTGAGTTTTAACTTTAGAAGGGAATAATGGAGGAGGTGGAGGAGGGGGGTGGGGTGACTTACCAGAGCGTTATCTATTTTGACAGCGCGGTACGCCCGCGGTCTGTCCTATAGGGTCGACGGACGTAGGGTCACTGTAATTGCATTTTAAGTATATTCCCCATTGTTACAATGAGCACTCTTTGTTACCAAAGTGCGTATATATTTATTCTCTTCTTTTTTAGAAAATAAAAACAATTTTTTTTTTTAAAAGTTTATTTTTGATCACAGTTGATTAGCGGATATAAGATAATTGGAAATTTCTTTCAAATTCTATATTGGAAAGGCTTTGAAAAATAATGTACTAATATTGATATTATTTTGACATAATATTGTCTTAATATTTCCATTTTATTGTTTTAATATTGTCTATTGTTTATTGTTTTAATATTGCCTTTATATTGTCCTAATATTACCACAATATTGTACTACTATTGCCATTATATTATGTATTATATCCAAATTTATTTTTCTTCTCTATGTTCAATGTTTAATTATTATCAATCAAAGTTTAGAAAAAAGGAAAACTTTTTTATAATTTTTAGAATTCTTAAAAAAACTATGCACAAATTTGCCTCATAGTTTCCCAACACTAAATCTTTAAGAATCAATTATATTAATGAATATTAGGATTGAAATTATTTTTGTCGCATGGTTCGTGATAGAATTGGCGTCTGTTGGATAAGAATAATGTTCTAGAAATGTAAGTAAAAAAGGGACATGGAATCGAGAAGAGGAAACTATATATATATAAATACAAGTTTCAAGTGTCGGTATCGTTGGGCTGACGCAAGTGTCCGTTAAGTTAAGCGGATCCTCGATAATCCGGATTACGCATTTGCTCGGTCTGCTGCCATCTTGATCTCGCACGCTGGTGCCAAAGACATAGTTGCGCGATACCAACACACACTGTCTGAACGCTAATCTCTCGCGCTCTTACTACGCTCACCAATATTATAAAAAACACCAACTGGAAAGTCAGAAATCTCCTGGATAATATCTAATTTTTTAATTATACGCCTCAAAAAATCTTCTCTTATAATTCAAACAAATTTCCTTTACATCTACTTCTTTAAATATCATCTTAAAAGTTTATACGCAAAAGAAATGATAACAATTTTCCATTTGAATGTATAAGAAAATTACTTTATTAAAATGCAACAAAATTATTTTAATTTAGGTTATAAGTTGTTTTTTTAGTAATCTAAATTAATTTCCATAAGTTTCAAACCTCTTTAAAGCAATTAGAACAAGCTTTGAACTGTTTAAAACATATTTGAACAGATTTCAAACTGTTTAAAACATTTGAACAGATTTCAAACTGTTTAAAACATTTGAACAGATTTCAAACTGTTTAAAACATTTGAACAGATTTAAAACTGTTCTGAACATATCTGAACAGGTTTAAAACTATTTAAACATTTTTTGACAAATTTCAAAATATTTGAAACATATTTGATCAAGTTCCATACTAATTCAAACATATTTCAACAGTAGGTTTCAAACTGTATCAAAGTTTCAATTTGATTAGAACATGTTTTAAATTATTGAATATATATTTCAACAAGTTTAAAACATATCTGAACATGTTTAAAACTATTAAAAGAAAATTTTAACAAATTTCAAACTATCAAAATTGATTAATAAATATTTTGAACAAGTTGGAAACTATTTAAAACATCGTTTAACAGGTTTAAAACTATTTAAGACATGTTTTAACAGGTTTCAAACTGTTTAAAACTGTTTAAGACATATTTGAACAAGTTTAAAATTTGATTAGAACATGTTTTAAATTGTTAAATACATATTTCAACAAGTTTTAAACTGACTAAAATGTTTGTTTAACAAGTTTAAAACATATCTGAACGTGTTTTAAAATTAAAAAAAATTTAAACAATTTTCAAATTATTTAAAACATGATTCAACAGAATCATGTTTTATTTGAACGTATTTTGAACTGTTTAAAATATATTTTAATAGGTTTCAGAACATTAAAGGAAAATTTTTAGTTTCAAACTGTTTGAAGCATGTTTGAACGTATTTTGAACTGTTTAAAACATATTTCAATTGGTTTCAGAACATTAAAGGAAAATTTTTTACAAATTTCAAAGTATTCTAAACATATTTGAACAAGTATAAGTTAATAATAAGTTGATAATAAGTTAATCATATTTAAACATATTTGAACAGGTTATAAACGAGTTGAAAAGTATTTGGACAAGTTTTATACAGTTTAAAACGTATTTAAACATGTTTTAAACTGTTTGGAACATATTTAAACTATTTTAAACCGTTCAAAACATATTTCAATAGGTTTCAGAATATTAAAGGAAAATATTGACAAATTTCAAAGTATTCTAAACGTATTTGAACAAGTTTAAGTTCAATCATATTTAAACCTATTTGAACAGGTTTTAATCACTTTAAATGTGATCGTAATTCAAACTGTTTAAATAATATTTGAACAGATTTCAAACTGTCATAAAATTGATTAAAACATGTTTCGAACTATTGACAACTTATTTCAATAAGCTTTAAAATCTTTAAATTATGAAAATTGATTAAAACATGTTTCGAACTATTGACAACTTATTTCAATAAGCTTTAAAATCTTTAAATTATGAAAATTGATTAAAACATATTTTGAACAAGTTGCAAACTATTTAAGACATATTTAAATAGGTTTCAAACTACATAAAATATATTTGAACAGGTTTCAAACTGTTTGAGACATGTTTAAACGTGTTTTAAACTTATAAAAAAATAATTGAATAGTAAACTTATTCAATAAGTTTACTATTCAAATATTTTTTTATAAGTTTGAAATTGATTAGAGCATGTTTTAAATTGTTGAAAACATATATTTAAACAATAGTTTTAAACTATTTGAAAAGTGTCTCAACAGGTTTGAATCTCTTTAAATAGTATTAGAACATTTTTAAAACTATTTAAAATATTTTTGAACAAATTTCAAAGTGTTTAAACAATAATTTAACTTATTTGAATGTTAATAAAGTGAATTGGAACATGTTTCAAACTGTTTGAAACCTATCTGAACAGGTTTTAAACTGATTAAAATGTTATTCAACGGGTTTAAAACGGTTCAAAACATACTTCAATAGGTTTAAAACAGTTGAAAACATATTTGAACAAGTTTCTAACGGTTCGAAACGTATTTGGACAAGTTTTAAACGGTTTGAAACGTATTTGGACAAGTTTTAAACGGTTTGAAACATATTTGGACAAGTTTTAAACGGTTTGAAACATATT